TAATATATCTTTTATTGATTTTTTTACAGAGAGGAAGGGAGAGGGATAGAGAATTAGAAACATCGATGAGAGAGAAATATTGACCAGCCGCCTCCTGCACACCTCCTACTGGGGATGTGCCCGCAACCAAGGTACATGCCCTTGACCGGAATCAAACCTGGGACCTTTCAGTCCTCAGGCCGATGCTCTATCCACTGAGCCAAACCAGTTAGGGCAGGGGGTGGCCATCTTGGGATGCCATGGGGGCAGCCATCTTGTGCAAGGGTGTGACAGTCAATTTGCATATTACTTCTTTATTATATAGGATATGATTTCCACTTAAAATGCCACTGTTTGTGTCTCACTGTGTTTGTGTCATGTACTCTTCTAGCTTATTTTGAGATGAAATACCTAAGCTAACCTTACTTAATAATAAATTAAACTCATCTTTTTACAAGGGCTTCATTCTATTTTCTTTTTTTAATGAAAAGTGTTTAATGTTGATATTATTGCAGGTGTCCCCCATCTCCCCCTTCTTTGCCCACCTCTACCCCTCACCCCCCCTTCCTCAGCCTTCATCACACTGTCGTCCGCGTCCATGGAGAAAGCATATATGTTCTTTCGCTAATCCCTTCACCTTCTTTACCCAGTCACCCTCAAAATACCTTCGAGTTCTGTGTTAATGTGATCAGGAAGAGTTTCCAATAGAAAATATAGTCTACTGAGTTCCATGCTTTCAATTTCCAGAAGTTCAATTGTAGCTCTTCTCATTTCTTCCTAAAGATTTAAATTACATATTAAAATAATAAAATTTATCTCCTAAACAATGCCCTATAAATCTTTTCAAAGGTCAAAATGTAATTTTCATTAAATACCTTCTGCTGCTATTTTTATTTGGAATAGAAAGTAGGAAACATAACTACAATCAGTTTTAAGGTGTCACTGTTAATTTATTTTTTAACTTCCACTTATTTTCTCCTACTCAGAAATCATCTTTCCGTATGTGTGTTTCCTATTTGCAGTTTCAATCAATTTAAAGACTTCAACAAAAAGGGTAACATTGAGAAAGAAAACTACTTAATTAAAATTAGAAAATGCCTATAAAAATATGCTTATTCATAAAGAGAACAACAGTTCTCTTTACATACCTACAAATCCAAACAAAAAGTCAGATAAGCCTGTTGTTATTATTGTTGTTATTATTATTAATTCATAATTTTTGGGGGGGCGGTTATCTCAAAAAGAATAAAAATCTGTTCATGGAACAATAGATGAAATCATCTTTTAAATAAATGGCTGCAATGGCTATCAGTATTTTATGACCTGAGAAATTACTATTATTTTTATTAATAATGAAAAGCAGGTTACATAATTATATATATAGTATGATCAGGTTTCTTTAAAAAATAAAATTCAATACAGGCATCATCTATACCCTGAAAGTAGGAAGAACATTCATCAGGAGTTAACTGTGATTACTGTAGGGTGGTGGGATCATCGTGGTTTTTACTTTCTTCCTTTTGCTTGTCTATTTTTTTTTTCTGTTTTCCAGAGTAAATTTGTGTGCTTTTATAATAGCAAAAATGTGCTACTTTAAAAAATGGAAGGATTTATCTCTAAGAGATTTCACAGGTCAGATATTAAATGGAGACATACTAGATACTTTAATAAGTCACAATAAATACTTTGATCCCTTCAATCCCTAGAGAAAAACATAACTGAAAACAAAGCAGAAGAAGAGGTTTTCATGAGATCACAGTGCAGTACAACATGCATAAATTCTAAAGAGTATGTATTCTACTAGTATATGCATATACTCTACATGTATTCAAATAAGTGTAATTATAAGATATAATTCTATAGTATACATACACAACTATATATAACTAGAGGCCCATGTGTACAAAAATTTGTGCACTCGGGGATGTCCCTCAGCTGGGCCTGTGCCCTCTCTCAGTCTGGGACACCTCGGGGGATGACCACCTGCTGGCTTAGGCCCGCTTCCGGGGGGATAGGTCCTAAGCTGGCAGTCAGACATCCCTCTGGCAGCCCGGGAGCCCTCGGGGGATGTCCAATTGCCAGCGGGGAGCAGGCCTAAACTGCAGTTGGACATCCTTAGCTCTGCTGAGGAGGCAGGAGA